CGAGCGTCAGCGAGACCTTGTGGAACGTACCGAGTTCCGTGTCCTCTGCTATAGTATTCATGATTTCCAGTATTTGACCATTGACTGGTCTTCATATTTACGATTGATTAAGCTTTGCTGTAAACAGGTTTTCTAATCCAGGATGGAAGGTCTCGTTACAGCCCTGGCGGGATTCGAGTCCGCATCGTGAGGGCCGTGGTGACGTTGCCACTTCGCTACTCAGCCGCAGGTGCCAATGGATTACAGGGCAGATGCAACTTTCAGGGCAAGCCAGGCGGCCTCTTTGAACTCACGTTTATAGTGAGCAGGCTCCGAGGTATCAGTAATTCCTGAAGGTTGTCAAGGTGACTTAAGCGTATTCCTGCAGTTCAAATTAATTCCTAATCTGTTCATTTTAATTGCCTCTAACTTTGGGCTTAGCAACAAAATGGCAGAATCAAGACCAATCCCTTCGAGGTCTAGTTTTTGCTGTGTGTTGCTACGTCCGAGTGTTCAACCCAAAGGCCTCTGGAGACAATTGTGTGTTGAGTTGCCTTTTTGTGGATGGGGCCACAAGCCTCTAGCGCCAACATAGTGTGTCGTCTCTTAGGAAAAGACAATCCGTGGAGATAAACAATGATGCTGCGAAGACGATTTTTCGCCACATCCTTGCGTCCGCATACTCTGCCTCACTTCAGTCCGTGTCTGCCAGTGTCGCATGAATGCGTTAATGGGCGGCCGGCGTGAACTCGGCGCCAGAAGAAGACGGGACTGTCCGGGCAGGTGAGGGTTGCTTAACTCAAAACTGGCCAGAACGGCTTGAATGGTCTGCCTTAACGGACTGGCCCAATCGGTTGGCCCACTCACTTGGTCTTTAGGACAATACAGTCTTCACGGACCGGTCAGCCCGGGGGAGAGAAGCAAGCGGGCCGTCAACTCGGCTTGCCGAGTTGCAAATTAGGCCGTCGAGAGTGCAGGCATCACTCGGTTGATCGCCCAGCAACCGACTGCTTGACTGTCGAGCTGGATGAAATTGGTTTTCCATACAGAGTCATCTTCATCAGACGGCTTTTAGAGAAGTTAAGGGGGCTGAGGCGTGAGGGTGGGGGCTACTTTGGACTCTTTGAAAGCCCAGTCTCACTCGTCGGACGGTACGCGGACAAACGTGACTGGGAAGTGGGCCAAGTCTACCCTCGAGAGGTGGGTGACACCGGGAATAGCGAGCCTCAGCTGGATTGGAGGCAAATCAAAGAGGCAGACGTGTGGTACAGATGATGATAAGTCGACCTGACAGGGCCTGGCAACGGTAGACAACACTATTCACTTCGATTGGCCGCCGGCCGTTATTAGTCTCTTCGGGTGGGGTCAATTTGCTCCCCAGTTGAGCAGAAAAGTCTGATCCGACCAGTCTACACGGCGGCGAAATTACGCATTTCGATTAGAGACAGCCAGCTTATCCGCATGTCGGCAGAAAAAAGAGACATCCCAGTCCTCACGTCGCTACGCGTCTCTACATTTTTTCTTTCCTGTTCACTCACGTTCGGCCGCCGACCACACTCCCTCAGTGCATTTGTCCATATTTTCGTCTATTTTTCCACCAATTGATATTTAATTGATATCCCACTCTTATTTTAGTCATTTATTCACTGCAACTTCCAAGCCATAGCTCTCAGGCTGATTTTACATTAGGGGAAGTATAGAGGTAATCACAACTTTTGCTGGCTCACAAATTTGCAGTTTACTTCACGAATATGAGAATCGACAATGACATTAATACTAATAATACCTTAATAAAAAAAACAATAGTAGGTATTATTATTATTCATTGGAAAAATTAAGAAATCCGGGACTTAAATTCATGCAGCAACTGTGATGCAAGATCAACGAAAGCGACGGATAAAGCATGAGGATAATTTTGCTTTTATTCATAGTGATACCAGCAATAGGTCGGGAATAATAATCATATAAAGCGGGTTTTGAAACTAACAGTAGATACTGAATACCAGTTCCAGGAACCCTAGGCTGCATACGATGATGAATGATAGATATTCGCAGGATTCCATAATGAGATGAACGTAGCTCACGACCTAATTTCCAAAGTTTCAGAGGTGGGGGGGGGGCGATGGAAGATTTGTCAGGCCTTAATGAGGGTACCTATTTGGAGACAAGGCTAAGTAAAGTGTAGATACTAAAAGTTTAGATGAATCTCCAGAGAAAACATTGTTGAGGAAACTTTCATTTCGTAAGAAGAAGAGATTTCTTAAGCTGATCATGCCAGAAGAGGACGACAGAATCCCGTTGTATTGCAGCTGATTGGCCATTCATGACCAACATTCATGATAACGCAGTCCACGAGACATCCTCCCTCGCTTCGGATGTCCATCATACGATGGACATAATCAAAGCTGAAACTCATTCTTCTAAAGGTCTTCTTGATGTGAAGACTTTCATTTCGTATGGAAGTACATGATTAAGAGATTTTTAGGTCAATTTACTCATCACGCACTTCCATACGGAATGAAAGTCTTCACATCAATCTTATCTCAGGAGATTCTTCGAAACACGCATTTTCTTCGTAATTACAAGGTTTGCTTGACCTAATATTAACGTGAGACTTTGTACAAAAATGAATTCCAGCTCCGATGATCTCCGTCATATGATGGACGAAAGCTCAGCCCGTTTTCACCCGAAACGAGGGAGGATGCCTCGTGGACTGCTTCAACCTGAACGTCACGGCCGCGTTACAATGGAAATCAGCCGTCGTCTATCGGTTAGATCAACCGGCGACTCTCTTCTTCGTCCAATTGTACACAACATGAAAGTCTTCCCAACTAATTTGAGTGTGACGTGACAACTTTGAACTGTCCGTCTTTCGTGAGCTCATGCTACCTGGATTGATTGTTGTTCTTATTCTGCTTTAATCACAAAGATGCCCCATTCATTCGTGGGAATGTAAAGATTTGAAAAGACTTTCTGTATAAAAGTAATCCCAAAAAACGGTTCTCGTCCAGCCTGAAATGTACCTCGCGGGACTCGAACTGTGAACATGCGGGTGCAGGTGAAAAAAGTTGATGGTCCCTTCCTACAGCACATGACCCTGGCTCAGCTGAGTTACATGCTAGGGTCTGCCTTCAACTTGCATTCTTATCCTAGTCTTTCACATGCTCGCCTCTGAGCATGCATATATACGGCTCGAATCCTGCTGATGAAATAAGATAAATTGCAATCAAGTCCAGACGTTTAGAATGCATGGCGCAGTGGATCCAAATGCAAAAGCAAGCTAATTCTTAAATTCAGCTGACGGCTCCTGTAAAAAATGATTAAGATGAGTCATATTGCACACAATTATGACACATTAGAATTTGCAGGAAACCATTATGCAAATTGTACGAGTTCACTTCACACTCTCTGTGCCATACTTATATGTGAATTTGTGTCAAAACTATCAGTAATTCTTGCAGTGTTAACAGCGCCATTACATTCATGACCCTGGTACAGATCCTATTGAGGTTGGTGATCAGGGGTGGCGAGGTGAGCTAGAAATTGCGATAAAGTACGGGCTGGATGTAAAAAACCTTTAGAAAAGAGTATAAGCGAAATTCAAGGGCACCATGAAGCCTGCTCATATCGTTGTGGGAAAAATTATTCGCATTAAGAGACACAAACTAAGTTAAGGTGATCAAACCAACCCATGATTACGTATTAGACATTGTCTCAAGCCCTTTCCTTTTTTTACCAGAAATGAGCCTAAAGCACATATGCATTAAAGGCCCCAGCAGTAGATGACGAAAAATTGTATCGGGTTTATTGTGAATGAGCATAAAAGGAATGACCTTCAAACTTATCCATTCTCTTGAGTGGCCTCATCAACCCATAATGGTCATCTGAACTCTTGTCTGCCATGCGTTGACATTATTTGGCCAAAGGTTAGATTCTGGAATAACAAGTTTCTTTGCGGTCACCTTTGAGGCTGATCAATTTGCGAAAGAAGTTGTAAATCAATTTTATGATTATGAAAATGATTGTGATGTAGAAACACACTCACACCACATCAGGAGATGGGAATTAGCTTTATTGAGGAATTCTTGTCTGAAAATTGTTCGAGCTCGGGGCATTAATTGAAAAACTACGCTTAAAGTACTGGTATTTGGTCGGAATAATAGCCAGTCTGGATTGATAACTGAATTCTACTTTGTGACACGACATTCCATTTCGCAGGAAAAGTTGATTGGTAGGAATTCATGAAATGGTCTCATCGGAAAACGAAGGAGGATTGCTGCGAGTAAATACGTCCTGCGACTCAAATGAACTTGATAAGCATCCCCAGAACAAGAATCCCGACTTTACAAAATATATATCATATCTTCAATCCTACTATCTATGTACGAAATAATGCTATAGATCTAATAAGCTAAGAGAAAATGTAGCCGGCTGCAACCCTATACACTTTTTCTATACACCTAAGCTTGCGATCTAATTGAAGCAACACATGACTCTTCTCATTCTCTCGTGGTTTAGTATATTTTGTGCTATTTCGTAAAGTATGTAATATGGCCTGATGAAAACTACCAAGTAGAAGACAGGAAAAAACTTATAACAGATTTATCGGGGTTGTAGGACTTTGAAACGAGGACTTCGTGACTTGGCTCTTTATTTCAAAGGGAAAGTTGGTAGGAAGGAATTCGTGATGATTACACACCGGAGACCGAAGGAGGATTGCCGCGTTTGGAAGAGTGTTGAATTGTGCGAAGAATTCCTCGCCTCACCGTCCTGAGACCCCGATGAAACTGTGCAAAGCCTTCGTATGTACTGTTACTGTAACAGACATAATTAGAGCAAAAATCCATACTTGACGAAATAGAGCAAAAATATACTAAAATAAAGAAAAATGATGGCCGACTGCAGCCCTAGTCTTTTTTCTGTCCACCTAACGTTGCGATCTTAATGAGACATCTTGTGATTTGGTTGGCTACTTCAAACTTATTCAACATACTTTCAAATGGATGAAGTTACTTTACAACCGGAAGTGAGTTCGATGGTAGTTGTTTCTTTAAACGAATAAACTAGCGTACGTTCCTAGAATGTTGAATCAGGTTTGGACTCGTTCTATTGTCTATTGCGTGTATGCAATGTTCATGCCAAGGTGAGTGTCAGAGTTCTATCTTGACTCGAGGCTAATCCAGCCTCTTTCTCTTGTTCAGTGATTCTTCCTGCAATCCTTTTCTCTCCTTTTCTTTAAGCCGATCCACCAGCCACAAATAACTCATACTCACTTTTCTACACTCGTTCCTCCTATTCATGACGTTGGCTGTTTTGTTAATTTCTATAGACTCCCGAATCTTACGCTTTGACGTGAAGTCCCCATAACCCGCAAAACTTTGTGTTTTGGACCAGTCTATTGAGGGTCCTGAATTGGCAAAATGTGTTCAGCAAGCTCAGTCTTTTGGGCCAACAGACCTTTACAAGCAGTTTTGTGTTCGCATAGTCTCTTCTGGATAGGTCAGCAGCTCTCCCCCACATAGACCTTAACGTATGAGCACAAAATATTGTAGCAGCCTGATGTAGAAATAGGGTTCGGCAATTCTCTAAACCAAGGAGCTACTGAAGAAAGTGTTAATTTCTCTTTATACATTGCTTTTATGTTCCACTTCATCAGAAGATCACTCAATCTTTTCGCAATCTGACAGTAAGGCGAAATCAGGAAAAAAATAGAATGGTTCACATGTCTTTCCCGCCCCAGATAACAGACTCCCTTCATCGTGTTAACTACAATTTATATGTAATTATCTACTATTCCTAATGGGTAATTATTTTGAAACAGTAAATCCCTCAATCTACCAATCTCCTGGTCACTATGGTCTGCATCTACTAGACGCAGACTCCTTATTAGCATGGACTTCATAACTCCTATTTTTACTTTATGTGTATGGTTAGAGAAAAAATTAATAAGGAATCCCGCGTAAGTGGGTTTCCTATATACGTCTCTACCCAACTTATTACCTTCTTTGCTCACTAATACATCCAAAAAAGGCAATTACTTTTAATTTTTTTACTCCATGGTAAACTTAATATTTGCAGCTATTCTATCTATTAGCTCAAGGAATTCCCCAAAAATATCCTTGCCGTGTTGCCAAACAGCAAAGTAATCGTCCATATGACGAACTAATTAATTGGGAACTAGGAGTGTCTCTTGAAACACACAAACTTCTTATTGGGCCATGTCGTTATTAGCTAAAATAGAGGCCAAACTAGATCCCATAACCAAGTCTCGTGCCTGCTCATAAAAACCTACTATTGAAGGTAAAATCTTCATTACACATTGCCAAATTGACTAATCTATTATTAAAACTTTGCTTAACTTTTTACCTGATATGATTTAAAGGTGTTGATCTAGAGTTAATTCTACCGCCTTCATTGCCTCGTTTTTCGGAATATTAGTGTACATAGACGCTACATCGAAACTTGCCAGCAAATCTCCTATTTCTATCGTCTGATAATCATTTAACTTAGTAAAGCCGTGGGAGTTCTTTACTGAAACTTCCAAGTTTTGGAGATTTGCTTCAACTGAGTACATATTAATCGTGGTCTTTTATGCATCACACTATTATTTACAATAAGCCTAAGTGGAGTACCATGATTATGAATTTTTGGCAGACAATACACGTTTGGCGATCAAGTATCCCACTGGAAAAGTGCATCACACATTTTCACTTTTCCCGTTCTCCACTCTTTACATCATGTTGCAGAAGACACTTAAGTCTGACCTTAAGGCCTTCTGACGGATTCCTAATTATAGTCTTACTGCTTCTCCTTTGTCTGTTTTTAATACTAATAGTCTATTAGCCTTAAA